TCCCACTTCTTTACTGTGGATAGTTTACTCCTGTGATCTTTATTTGAATCTCTTTTTTAATCAAATTTGAAATGAGTAAATATATTAATGAAGTATTTTTTAATCACTTAAAAGCTGTTTGAATTGTATTGACACTATTTTTCATTTGAACAACAACAAAAAAAAGCCATAAAAAGTGTTTATAATGAATGAGCAACATTCAAATAAAGCCCTTGAGAATTCGGGTTTAGAAATTCACTTTTCAAAAAATTTTCTTGTTTGGCAGAGTTTAAAATAGCGTAAGTTACTGTTATTATTTACAACTTAAGTTATAACTTAATGTTTAAGTTGCAGTTGTAATAAGCAATATTGTTTTTAATACTATTAAGATATTTCTTTAAGTATATTTTTACTAAACATGATACTTAAAAAAGTAAAAGTAAATAAGTAAGAAAAAAAGCAACATTACAATATCTAAACCACTTTTATTAGTCAAAGAAAATTATTTAATACGTTCATGCTGACGTGAAAACACATGTTAATTTAAAAAAGTATTTAATTGTTAAAAGCTATAAAACAACATTAAATCAAACTGCAAAGTTGTTTTAAAAATATAAAGAGCTTGGAATAATGTAAAACAAATTTGTGATGCTGTTTCGTTTTGATTTATACAGTTTATAAAATAAAACGCGTTTAAAATAAAAGGAAGCAAATAAATAAAATAGAGCTAGTTAATAAACTAAAACAAAACTTCACATTTGCGCCTATAGACCTATACGAGTTTGTAATCTATAGACCAAACGAGTACGATCAAAGCAAAAAAACATTAGATACCATGTCTTTCATAAATTATCGTTTCTTGATCGAATGTACTATTAAAAATTTAAGTATAATTAAGTTTTTCATTCAAAAGATTATTAAACTGATGTTTTCATTTAATTTTTTTTTATTCTAATTGTTTTCCAAAAAAAGTGAAACAAAAAATTTTGTTTAACAAATCGAATTATATTAAGTGTAAGAATATGCTTAAATTATTTTTTTAGAAAAAAAATTTTTCAAACAGAAGTAAAATAATTTATTAAATTTAATTAAAAATTTTTATGATTTTTATTTTAACTTGCAATTGCAATCACAGCTTTGATGTTTGCAATAGAATGTTTCTACTTTTAAAACTATTTTCAAGAAAAAATATATAATTCAAAACGTTAACAAAATTTGCGATTTATGAAAAAAAAACTTTCATCTTCATTCTCCCTTGTTTCATCAAACTTTTTTTAAATTTTTAAATTTTTTTCAATTTCAAATTTCAATCACAAAATTATTTGAGTAAGTGAATTTTAAGGCTAAAGTTCTCTTGTTCAAATAGATTTCTTTTTAAATAAAATTCCTGAAAACAACTTGCGTATTTATAGAAAATGTTTATTCTAGATGTCGCTATAAATAAAATGAAAATATAAAAAAATGGTGTCGCATTTTTCATATTCTATTCAACAATTTTTGTTTAAATAATTATTAGTTAAAAGCTTATATTATGTTTTAACAACATGTAAGATCTAAATTGAAACATGTCTATGACTAACTTTTGCGAGTATATTAAATAAATTAATATAATTGTTAAATTAATGCTTGAGTAACTATCTTAAGTTACTATCTTAACTTAACTGGTGGTATTAATTTAGGTTATAAGTGAGTTTACTGTGATATATTCTATTCATTCAGTAAAGTCAACTAAATAAAACTTCAATTGTTTCAAGGTCATTAAAAGCGAAAAACGTGAAAGCAAAAAAGTTGCTGGTTTCTATTAGTACAATTTTACTAATAGAAGTTTTATTTAATAAAAACAAATTGATATATATTTTTTTATACTTAAAGTAGTAAAAATAATTATATAAAATTGTTTATAAAATAATAATTTAATTCATTATTAATAAGTTAATTTGGAGCAAGTTTTTTTTAAAAAAAGATAAAAATGCTGTTTTGTTGAAAAAAATAGAATGAAGAAAAAATTATGTTTAACTTTTGTCTTTTTAATTTGCTGCTAAGCAGAGATTTAAAGTAATTTAAATTAAAAAGTAAATAAAAATCTCTGCGCGAAAGAGCAGATGATCATGCTTCTATTCAAAAGACAAACTTTGCATGACATACTTTACTATGAAAACATTACTTTTTAAGAATTAGAAAAAAATTAGAAAAAAAGTAAATAAACAATTTAAAAAGTAAACCAATCGCGAAAATATGTTTTAAAAAAAACTAATCGCGAAAGTATAAAAAGCTATCGCGATACGCTTAATTCGAGCCCTGTTATATTCTATCCAAAATTTCTTGTTAAAATAATTTCTGGTTAGAAGCTGTGTAATTAACAATAGAAACATGACTAAACTTAGTTTAGAAATGTTTTGGCATATTAAGTATTTTTATTTTTGCCATGTTAATAAATTTATTGGTTTAATTTTGTAAGTTAATGGTTAATATGGTTAACTTTTTAAGTAAGGATAATATATATATATATATATATATATATATATATATATATATATATATATATATATATATATATATATATATATATATATATATATATATATATATATATATATATATATATATCTGTGTGTGTGTGTGTGTATATATATATATATATATATATATATATATATATATATATATATATATATATATATATATATATATATATATATATATATTTCAACATCTTGGCTTCCAACAAGGCTGAAAACAACCACTATTAGAGTTGAAAGTTACTAGAAGAGAAAAGATGAAGTTTGTAGAGCAAGATAATGATTGACAGACAACTTAAAAGAAACTAAGTGAGATATTTTTCAAGCTCAAATGCGCTCTCCAAGCGATTAGAGTGTGTTGGTTTCTTATCATGACAAGAATATATGGTAGTATCATCAGCAAACAATGCCACCTTAGATGTGAGAATATCTTGAAGATTATTAATGTAAATTAAAAAGAGTATAGGGTCAAGGATAGAACCTTGAGGAAACCCTGAAGTTACAGGATATAAAGAAGAATGCTGTCCATTGAGTGGATAACTTTTATACTACAATTAGAAAGGAAGAAGTCAGTAATCTTAAAGATGTTACCTGATACATCGTAAGAAAAAAGCTTATGGAGAAGTCTAGCACGCTAAACTTTATCAAAAGCTTTAGAAATGTCAAGAGCAATAGCCCTAACCTCTCCACCTCTAATGTACAATAAAACCTATCGGTTATTATTGTTAGCAAATCAGCTGTGGAACGAGAAGATTGAAATCCATAAATGATCAGAAAGTTATTAGATTCAAGATGAGAGATTAAGTGTTTGTTAATTAAAAATTCAAAAACCTTGCTTATGATAGGAAGAAGACTAAAAGGACGGTAGTTAGACTAGTTTGATCGCTCTCAAGAATTTTTGAAAATAGGGATAACAGATGCCGCTTTCCAGCATACCAGAAAACAAGACTCTGATAAGCACTTAATAAATAGTTTTGAAAGTATAGACCACAGCTTTGGAGAACACTTCTGCAAGACTATAACAGGTTGTTGTCTGGACCACAAGCTGTAAAAGAGTCTAACCAGGAAATCACTTTTGATACAGAAGCTGGAGTGATACGAATATCAAGCATTGGATCAACCTGTTTGTCGGCTATATCAGTTAAAACGCAACTAGTGGAATTGAGAGATGATATTGATAAAAAGTTCTTAGCAAACAATTCAGCTTTATCTTTAGGTGTGGTCACAAAATCTGAACCGTGCAAGAGAGATGGAATAACCTTATTGTTGATACTATTAAAGATTCTCCAGAAGTCACAAGAGCCTGATTTTTTGAGATGAAGTACAAGATTTCATGACCTTAGAGTAGCACATAAAAGAATAGTTGGTGGATTCAAACCTAGTTTCCCGACAAATGGGTGAATTCTTATGAGTTTAAATGCCCAGGCCAAGTATGTGACTATTAGAGTCTTAACAAATTAAATTAAGATAACCATCAACACTAAGATCACAAGATGAGACAGCCGAACTTAAATAAGTCTCACAAAGAGCAAGTAGGTCGGGTGAACTTTGCAAGAATAAGACTCAACAGAAGAAAAGTTACTTCGAAGACCACAAATATTAGTGAATGATAAGTTTAGATTACTTGGTGATGACGATGGTTTTTTGTGTTTTATAGTTTTATTTTTTTTTTTAGATAGTACTCAGTACACTATTTAATAGCCCAAGCAATTGCCTTGTTACTATTAATAAATCCTAAGCCACAACAAAGGGCTCTAAATGTGGTTTTGACAATGCACGCCAAAAGCATGAACAGGGAATAAGAACTCTAAAGGGGGTGTTTTAAGTTGGAGTTAGCTTCTCCTAGTCTTTGCCTAAAAAAGCGTATCCTACAAGGCAGCAGGATATGAAGCAGGTTATACTGGGTTACATATTACCAGTAGCAGCATAACCTGATCTGACCTCACCTTTATCATGTAATGTATAGTATTATATTATACATTATAATATTTGAACAAATTTGTTTAAACACAAGATTATTTTAAAGTTTAAAGATAGTTGTTATCTACTCCTGACTTGATAATGATTTGTTGTTTTTTAATTAATTTTACAAAAAAAGTTTTATCTATTTTTAAATTTGGTATAGAATATTTTAACTTTTTTGTTCATATATTATTAGCTTGAATTAGTTTTTAAGAATATTTGTTGCAGATTTTTTTTTGGTTTATTTTTATGACACCTAAAATTCATTTCATGACAACCAAGATTAAATATGCTATTAAATGATATTAAATATTTATTCTATTGAGATAATGAATCTTTAAATTCATTAAATTGTGTTTATAAATATATATATATATTCTTTAATTAATCAAAATTATTCATTAAAGTGTGTGTATATAATTTGAATCTATATTGACGATCCCCAATATATTGTTTAAAATATTGTTTGTGTATTTTGATAACTAATATTTTATTTATTGAAAAAGTGTTTATTTGATTTAAAACTTTTTTTCTTTTTAG